CTCACTCACTGACTCACTCACTCACTCACACACTGACACACACTGAGTGACTGACTGACTCACTCACTCACTCACTCACACACTGACTCACTGACTCACTCACTCTCTGACTCACTCACTGACTCACACACTGACTGACTGACTCACTCACTCACACACTGACTCACTCACTCACTCACACTGACTGACTCACTGACTCACACTGACTGACTCACTGACACACACTGACTGACTGACTCACTCACTCACACTGACTGACTCACTCACTCACACTGACTCACTCACTGACTCACTGACTGACTCACTCACTCACACTGACTGACTCACTGATTCACACACTGACTGACTGACTGACTCACTCACTCACTCACTGATTGACTGACTGACTCACTCACTCACTCACATATTCACTCACTCACTATTAAATAGTGTGTATTAGTGAGTGAATGAGTTGGGTTTAATGCTGCTTTTAACAGTATTCCACTTATATCACGGCGTGTCAGCTTAATGTGGGAGGAAAGCCCCAAGTGATGCAGGTCTCGGACGTTTACCACTTTGGTGAAACCCACAAGCACGGGTATGGTGCTGACAAACCTAGAAACATAATCGGGGCGATCGGGATTCGAACCCACAATCAAAGGTATCTGGCGTGCCCAAGGGGCTCAACTCTGCCATAGTGTGTATTAGGAAATGAAGATGATCTTTTATAACAGAATATGACAGTTATTATGCAGTATGACTTCACATTTATGTCATCAAATACTCTCCTTTTTGAAGCTGCTGAAACAAACCATGTGTCATGTGCATACAACTCTACAACAAAGCGCCATCAACAACAGAAAGCAAACATCCAATGTCTCGACATATTCTACTGATTTGTGACCATTTACGACATCATCAATGTGGCAGGGTTAGTCACAAGACATATCAGGCAGATGCAGCACTGTCAACAATGATGCTTTACCTGCAACTCGAAACATATTCCACATCCAATTATCAATGTTAATGAAAATAACGACTAATAAAGAAATGCTACCTACCTTTTCTACCTGATCAACAGCTATTGAAAATATTATTTTTTTCATATTTCTTTCATTGCATATAAAAAAAAAAAAAAAATTTCACAAATGTTCAACTTCATTAAAATCTATCATTGTGCATGTTACAACTACACAAAGCTGTAGCGAGCACTAACATCTGATTTTAATAAGACTGACAAATATGATTAAACAATATTTTGAAAACATTCTTTTTTACTTCCTGCTAAGTCTACAAACGATTTTCAGTTGTGAAAATAATTCAAAGTTTGTCAGTATAGGGGAAGTAACCCTTGACTTTTCATTTTTTTTAAATCACATTTTATAATTGCATTCTTATTTTGTTCGCTGATCCTACAGTTCTTTAAAACAAAAACATAAACCAGTGATGGGAGGGAAGAGAGAAAAAAGTTGTCATTGATTACAGGGGACTCCGTAACATGACCCCATGCAACTGACAAATACCACATTATCTTGATACAACTGATTGATATGAAATAAATTTAAGATTTTTTAGGTCAGTGGATCCATAAACCATGCCAAAAAAATGAAAGGCCAAATATTAGAAATATTAATCCAATACCCACGGCTAGTACCGTCACAGTAAGTTCCAAGGGTGTTAACTAACCTATATGACAAACATAATACTTCAATTGCTGGAATTTCAAAGAGATAAAACACAAAATGACAAATGAAAATGGAGCAACACATACCACATAATGTGAATTATATTCTATCGCAGCAATTTTACACACAAAAAACAGATAGATATGGCATTCTTTCAGATTCAGAAAAGAAAGAATTCTAGCAACTGAATTAAAGAATTAAATCCATCACACACTGAGGAGAAGACTAACTACCATGTCCCATTCAAACTAACAGAGAACCAAATACAATTAGAATCACCTCTAGAAAACTAGCGCCAAGAGGCCTGAAGCTCACCTGTCCCAAATTAATGCATATTGATGTAAGAGATGACTTTTAGTAAATGCATTTATGGACCGACCATTTGACATTCTTGGGGGCGGGACATTTTTTATGGAGGTGCAGCTGCAAAGCCAGATATATTTTTAATAATAAAAGCCTAAATTAAAAAATTAAAAAGAATCTTGCAATAATGTTTTTGGGGGCTCACGATTTCTTTTTTTCTAACATTCCAGCGGCTACATTGTTGAAAGACTAATCACACCTCGTATACTGAACAAAAAAAGTTCCTGTGACGTTGTCATGTTGAAAGGTAATGCTTGGGCCATGACGACGCAAAAACGGTAGAACAACAGGGCCGATGATCTTGTCGCGGTAGCGCTGTCCATTGAGATTTCCCTCTACCACTATCAAACGGGTCCTCTATCTTGCTGTAATCCCATCCCCATACCATAATGCTGCCGCCCCCGAACCAATCTTCTTCCATGACACAATGATTGACGTAACGTTCACCTCGACATCAGTACACTTGAATCCGTCCATAGCTGTGGCTGAGGTAAAAACGAGAATTGTCAGTGAATAGAACTTGTCCCCACTGCATGGCCGTCCAGCGTAGATGCTGTCTGCACCACTGCAGACGTGCTTGACAGTGGTTTCCTGTCAAAATGGGACGTCTGACGGGTCCTTCTGGCGACAATCCCTGCACATCTGAGGCGACGACGTACGGTTTGTGAAGATATTCGTCGAAGGCCAGGGATGCTTCTTGCAGGCACTGTTGCTGGCTGGAATCGACTTCATAGGTGTGTTGTTCGAATCCAGTTGTCTTGTCGATTATTGGTTACGCGTGGCCTGCCACTCCGAGGATTGTCTCTGACTACATCCGTCTGTTGCCAACGTTGCCATAAACACAAAATGGTGTTTCTATGGACGTTAAATTGTCTTGCAACATCACGTTGACTCGATCCTGCTTCAAGCATACCAATGGCTCGCAGACGTCATTTTCGGATAGGCGTGGCATTTGGTAATGTTGAATAATTGCGTAATTTTGTTGTTTTTCTGAGTGGTTGTTGTCAACACGATGCTAAACATACATATGGAATCCCGTTAACGCACATGTTTTGATACCCATTCTTGGGTAGTCAACTTTTGCATGGAATGCATGCTTTTTTAGAGTAGTTGCGTTTTTGTGACTTGATTCCATACATGTACCACAATACTGAAAACCAAACTTACCTTGTTTGAAAAATACACTTAAATATTGGTGTCACAGGAACTTTTGTTGTTGAGTATATTTTAGCATATGGGGCAACTTGGAAAACATATACCAGTGTCAATCACATCACAGCTTCCTATGCCTTCAAAAACAAATTTCAATCATTGACAAATATTTGGGCCCCTTTTATTGTCAGAAATTCTCATAAAGTTCATGTTCAATCCAATGAAAGACAATGCAAGTGAGAAATGTGTACTGACGGATGACACACAATATAAGCACATATGGCCCTTTGGACCAGGTGAGCTAACAAAGAGAAGACAGAGAACCAATGTAGATCTAGGTAACCGATATATATACTGAAATACACATCCATCTAATGAACAACTAGCTATATCTACATACCTTCACCCCTTCCTCCTTAAAACAAAATACAAATATTCACTGGGCAAGGGAACACAGTTCATAGTGTTATGACCAAAGAATAGTATGAAATTCAGCCAATACATATACCGTATTCGACGTAATAAGCGCCCAGGGCGCTCTCAAAATTAGGAATAGGGGGCTCTTATTAGAATATAATTTTGGTGAAAAAAACAGAGCTGAAAAATAAATTTTGTGGTTTATGCTGACAGACTAAAATGTTTATGTACAACAGATATATTTTTCCAGAATGTGTATTCCACGAGTGTGTATTATACACAAATAATTAAGTCTTGTGTACATTGATCAATTGGAAGGGGTGCTAATTGGGATTGTTCACTAGCCAATATATTAGCAAATATCGCTGTGGGCGCTTATTAGAGCGGGGCGCTTATTACGTCGAATACGGTAATCTACTTTCGCATGGAGCTTCAGGCATCAAAATTTGTACCCTTGGTATTACCTGAGTCTATATATTTGCAAGTCCTGGGAACACTTAGTACCGTATTCGATGTAATAAGCGCCCCACTCTAATAAGCACCCACGGAGATATTTGCTAATTTGATACGTTTTAGGGGTCCCAGGCTTAAAAACTTGTATCCAAGGGTGACTGCTGTACCAACAACAGTCTGCAACTTCAGCCACTAGCCCGAAGCCCGCGTCAGTAAAATTCTATTTGGTCTCTTAACGTAAGATAATACCATTAAATATGATAGCACGAAAATGTACTAAAATGGATGCTAAGAGCAAAGTTCAGGCTCCTTGACTCAAAGGTAAATAAAATATAATGTATGTGTGATGCTTATGTTTACAAGGGACTTCCTTTTTTGAATCCGTAAAAAATGACACTGACTGCGTGACATTGTTTGTATTTAGCTTATCACAACAGAAATATCAGAAAAATCTAACGAACAAGTTTAGATTTAATCATGTTAGTTAGTTTCAATTATTCCAACAACCATAATCTTATTCCAACAACCATAATCTTATACGTCTAATTGGAAGCTCGGTGGAGAAAAGTTCCATCCGTCCTATATTTGTTTGTGTATAGGATGAAATATTCTGTAAAATACCTGTGAATAATTTTGTCCATGTGTGAACAGTGTTTCATTTGTTTGTTTGTTTGTTTGTTTGTTTGTTTGTTTGTTTGTTGTTTAACACAGCACTCAGCAATATTCCAGCTATATGACGGCGATCTGTAAATAATCGAGTCTGGACCAGACAATCCAGTGATTCACATCATGAGCATTGATCCACGCAATTGGTTGGTTGGTTGGTTTGTTGTTTTACGCTGCACTCAGCAATATTCCAGCTATATGACGGCGATCTGTAAATAATCGAGTCTGGACCAGACAATCCAGTTATTCACATCATGAGCATCGATCCACGCAATTGGGATTGATGACATGCATCAACCAAGTCAGCGGGCCTGACCACCTGATCCCATTCGTCGCCTCTTACGACAAGCATAGTCGCCTTTTACGGCAAGCATGGGTTGCTGAAGACCTATTCTACAACAGATCTTCACGGGTCTGGTGGATTAGGTGCTGTAATCAAACTTGATCATTGTTGATGTGGCTTCCAATTAGCATTGGTTTAGATGGGTTCCCCCTAAACACCTGTGACATGGAGGATGATAAGTTAGTATCTCATTGCATATCTCATTGCATATCTCATTGCATATCTCATTGCGTATCTCATTGCATATCTCATTGCGTATCTCATTGCATATCTCATTGCGTATCTCATTGCATATCTCATTGTATCATATTGCATATCTCATTGCATATCTCATTGTATTTCATTGCATATTTCATTGCGTATTTCATTGCATATCTCACTGCATATCTCATTGCATATCTCATTGTATCTCATCGCATATTTCATTGCGTATTTCATTGCGTATCTCATTGCGTATCTCATTGCGTATCTCATTGCACATCTCATAGCGTATCTTATTGCATATCTCATTGCGTATCTCATTGCATATCTCATTGTATCTCATTGCATATCTCATTGCATATCTCATTGTATCTCATTGCATATTTCATTGCGTATTTCATTGCATATCTCACTGCATATCTCATTGCGTATCTCATTGCATATCTCATTGCATATCTCATTGCATATTTCATCGCATATCTCATCGCATATCTCATCGCATATCTCATTGCATATCTCATTGCATATCTCATTGCATATCTCATTGCATATCTCATTGCATATCTCAACATAACAGTCAAGGCATGCATTGTAAAATTCACTCATTGCAGTAGAACTGTAATACATACCACTTCCTCATCCTAGCGATGCATGAAACACACACCAACACTGGCATTTAGCAACATACAGAACACAATGGACATTGCCTTGATCATGATCAGGGCTCGATTTAACTATAATGACATGCACAAGTGCAACCTTTTATTGAAAAATGCAAGCTAATATATATGTCTACATGCACCAAGTACATGTCAACAAATTTCAAACTTGTATCTTGACGAAACCTTATTTGTCAACAACAATCTTTGAACACAAGGAATTCCCTAAACTTTATTTACAATACCACAACACTAATCCCTGTGTTACATGGAATATGTCATGCTTTCTTGGGCTTGATGTCATCAAACTGTCGTACTTCAAGATTATGTACAGTTGCTTCATCTGTCACTGAAGCTGATGATCAAATAACGTTTTAGATTTAGATTCTCCAACTGATGATCATTATTATAATCATTATATGATGGTTGCCATTGGTGACATTACCACATCAAAGCTGTTACAGTATGTACTAACTGTATTCAAAATCATGACATTCATCAGAATCTGAAATTTATTTAGTTAGATAAAGTTATGGGAACAAGGTTCAACTTGATGTTTTCTGCTGCATCTTAGGTTTTCATGTCAACATGCACGTGCTGCAAGTTACATCAAGTTTTTTAAATCGAGCCTTGCATGTTGATATCAGGCTAAACATGCATGCACATTTGTTAATATTGTGTGTTGCATTACACACAATAGCCACAATATTAAAGGGACAGTCTGTCGACGGTTCTGCGTGTTTTTAAATCATACAAGAAATAATTTCTGAGTGTGGTGTCACATTCCCAATTCAATTCTTCAAATCAAACTGGCCTCAATCTTGTTTTATAATAGAGAACAAATGAAGAACAGCTTGTGTGTTCTCTTACCGCTGAGTTACAAAATACTACCAGTCATCTGAATAGATTAGAAGCCAGTGCTAATCAAAGCCTAGAATATAATATAAATAATATGTCTTGGTCGAATGAAGCCAATCACTCTCCTACTCAGAGTTCCTTGCGCTCAACTACCTTTATCACATCGTCACATCGTCATATCATCACATCGTCACATCTAACGCTGTGCATTCACAATGATTCATGTATTCTTCATTTGTTTCATTTCAGATGAGTCTACACACTTAGATAAGCATACGTCAAAAATATGTAACTTTCATTTATAAAATATCCTAAAACGGGAAAAACTATTTACATTTGCTTATTTATCCTTCACGTCCTGTCGTCGAAGCCCTAATACAATGCCTATGGAGAGCTTGCGACGGGTCACTTTGTTGTGCAAAGCTATATGATCATGCACTTATTGTCGCAGTTGTTGTAGTATATCTACATAATAATGCCAAACAATATGTAAAGCGCACCAAAAAGCTTGTATTAGGCCCATCCGTTCTTATTTCAGAATAATTGCATTTGTTTCCAAACAAGAGAAATGTCTGGTCACGTGATAAGCCTGCACCCGCGGTACGGTCACTAGAGCAGAAACAGAATTAAAGGCGAGCTGAGATGGACGTTATCAGCTACAAATTATTAGAAATGTTTACAAACAAAGCTTTAGAATGGTCGAGGTACTGTCCCTTTAAAATTTGAAAAACACTGAACGACAAGTCATGTGTGCAAATCACAACAAACAATTGAGAAATACAAAATACAAAATGCTGAGTGATGTGAGGGTACTGTATTAACAGAATGATCCAATGATATTCAAACCTCAGTACTATTTGATGTCTGCAGGACAGAAATAAGATATAACATCATCTTTATAATAATTAAATGAATCTAGTTTATCCAGGCTAAGTGATATTTTGGCAAGAATGCAGTATACCAGACACTTTCAGCCATTTTGGTAAGGGATGTACACGAGTTCATTCCTTTGTAACGATTTCTAAGTTTTCAGATGCCATTTTTTGTCACCTCGCTAAAATAACAGGGGGTTTGGGTGGCTAGCTCCCCACACAAAGGATTGAATTAAATGCTTTCGTTGGTAAAATGTAATTACCAATGTTGATATAAAACACAATGTGTTTGCTGAAATGTGGCCCTGACGGATATCACTGATGAGGTTGTCAAATGCTAAGATGGAACTTCTATTTTCGAGTACTTTTTCGATGTTGATGTCCAATTTTCACGACACTTATGGATCGCTTTGATATTCAATTTCAAGGTATAATCATATTAAACCATAAAAATGCAAGCAGGGTAATCTTTTCTGCTTATTTTGAGCTCTATTGCCCTATTTTTCAAAAAGTGATGCTGTCGCGTGTGGCTTTATTAGTAACATCAAACATACACAGCGGAAAGGTGTCAGGTATTATGCATGTGTATCGTTATTTTATACTTTATGGACAAGGCCAAAGATAACTTTTTTTGGACAGGGTACAAATATTTATACAAGTATCACTTGTCCCTAACTTGTATTTTCATGATTCAAATAAAACTGTGTTCTATAAAAAAAATCCATATGCACTTACCTCAGGATGAATTACATTTGGGAAAGTCACATCGAATACTTTACAACCCGAGTGAAATTCAGACTTTGGATCACCAACAAACAACATCACGGGGTTCTTAACATTACTGTGCAATGGTTTTTCCGTCATTATTCTACAATAATTTTGAATTCTAATGATATGTATATTGAATGTCAGGCGATAAATTCTTTTCTTCCGTGTTGTCAGGGAAGCTTTGTTCAGCAGAGTTACCTCCCTTTAACAAATTTCACGCACCTGTGTGAAAAGCAATTTTTCAATTTGTGCTCTTATTTGACGGATGCATTATAATTGATTCGACGCATAAGCTTGACACATGCCATTTTAGCTATTTTGTTTTAGATATTGTAATTTTCTCGTAATATCGCGACAGGGTGTGTACGATTTTTATCCAAAATGGCGGACGACTATGATGAGCCGATCTCTGACCAAGAACGTGTAAGAACTAATTATTTAATGTGATTTGAGATTAATTGCGTGATTAAATCCATCAAAGCGGCTTAAATGAATATAGGTGAAGATTTTTGTAATCCGTGGCACTGTTCAAATGATTAGAGACCCGCATATGACAGGGGGTCGACCCCACTGGTCTGCACTTCCGCCTAGGCCGGCTTACTTTAGCATGGGCGTGTTCATTAAATATTGTTTTCCGGACACAGGGCTAAGGTCTTTAGACAGGACATTGTCTTTCGTGTTCCAAAATTTCAAACGAGGACACTGTGTATATTTATTAGAAAAAAATAACTTATCGTGTGATTTATTCGATGTCAATGACATCATCAAGACCCCAAACTGCCTGAGGTATCAATCGGAAGTCCATAGTCACCCTACTGTCGCCTACGCTCTATTCATTTATCTGAGGAGAAGACATCATGAACATATCAGTATTTCTTTCATGACAATATTCATAGACAGTTATTTACATACACATCTACAATAAAGTAGCAGACATGCACTGGATGTTTTAAAGTTTCACTTTTTTCAGAATATAGAGTCTAATGTTTTCTTAGCTACATTTATTCTATTTCCATTTCACAGTTTGAAAATAAGACCCATAACTTTAAATAACAACCTGATAATTGATCAAGTTGGCATGAATAAGAGCATTATGTCCTCTGTCACCTGTTTTCATAGGAATCCTGTGGAATCCATCACGCAGGACATCCTTGTGCTAGAAATACATACACATAGTTTGCAATACAAGGAACTGCATATCATGATCATGACATGTATTTATTACACTAAACATTGGTCAATATGTTCCAAACCAGGTTTACTTGTTGCCAGTATGTTAACCATTGTTTACATCGGACATGAGCATGGGGCATACACACATGGCAAAGCTAGCTCTATCCCACTGCATGCCATTTGGATAATCCTCATAGGCTGGAGCCCAGAGGATAAGTTATCACTCTGAAGAGCTTATAGCAAAACTTCAAGTAGATGTACCAAATCAAAAACATAAGGGGAGAAAAGGCTCAATACATATGGGATTCAATCAAGCTTACCCAGAGCTTTAGATAAATCAACATTATTCTGTTAAGTTTGAATTTGCTTGTGTACAAAGTACAAGAACACTCAGTGTAATTAATTACCCAATGTAACCTTTTCAACTTGCAATATTTCTTTACATATCTTTGTTTACTGATTGAATGCACATGACACATACCATATTCGACGTAATAAGCGCCCTGGGCGCTCTCAAAATTAGGAATAGGGGGCTCTTATTAGAATAATATTTTGGTGGAAAAAACAGTTGAAAGATACATTTCGTGGTTTATGCTGACGGCCTGACTGTTTATATACGACAGATATATTTTTCCAGAATTTAATAATAATAATAATATAATTGCCCAATATTAAGGGTGCATATAACACACGAGTGTGTATTATACCCGAATAAATAAGTCTTGTGTACATTGATCAATCGGAAGGGGTGCTAATTGGGATTGTTCACTTGCCAATATATTAGCAAATATCGCCATGGGCGCTTATTAGAGCGGGGCGCTTATTACGTCTGATACGGTATATGAACTCTACTCGAATGAATAATGCAAGAAAAGGGTCTCACTTATTGTTGATTAGACATGGATATCTCTGTTGTGAAGTTCTGCCACTTGTGTTGACACTTGGGGCAGCACACAAACAGATACTAAATTAGAAATCACCTGAACAGCATTTAAGGCCTCAAAATTAGAAAAAAAATCAGGTGACGGGTGTACCCAAGGGCACTGGAACTGCTTTTCAGGTGTGCCATTTTCAATTTAGGTATGCTTTGTTTATGTTACCTAATTATTATAACAAATAGCGATTGTCTGCCAGGTTTTTCACAACAGTCAACACAAATAACCACTTCCGTTTGAAACACAAGACTTACATAATGTTCATGATATTCTGTCAAGATATGGAAAGACACGATTACATTCAAATGTATTTTGTGCAATCTTGAACATTACGTCAAAAGTCTGTAAGATACAGTAAACGGAAATCACCGAATTATGCCAATTGATTTACAACAGGAAGATGTATAGCGAATGTGGCACATGCAACTAATAGAAAAAACCTTTCATTTCACAGTTTAATTTTGTCAAGGCATGAAATAAAAATTAATGTAAGTACTTTTAATGAAAATAAACCATGCCCACGAGGCACTGTACATAAAATTCAAGTGTGCCATTTCCTATTTTATGGGTGCCACAGGCATGGCAGCACTAGTAATTTCTATCCCTGCATTTCAAGTAGATTTTTTGCTGTTTAAATGTCTACTCATTGGTGTAAAAATATCCAACAGACTGGGCCCAAGGGAGTAACAAGATATTGAATACCCAAAGAAAACTATAAATACCTAATGTAAATGATAACTTGTGAGTAAATACTGTAAGTCTTGAAATTAATGCAGGGGCGGTTGGGTAGCCTAGTGGTTAAAGCGTTAGCTCGTCACGCCGAAGACCCGGGTTCCATTCCCGACATGGGTACAATGTGTGAAGCCCATTTCTGGTGTCCCCCGCCGTGATATTGCTGGAATAATGCTAAAAGCGGCGTAAAACCTCACTCACTCACTCACTGAAATTAATGCGTCTCCAAATACAACTGTTGACCACTAGACAAAAATGCGTCTCAAAATCATTGTGACTCTTTCCCCCCCCCCCCCCCATCCCCAGTGGAATACATATCCTTACCTTAATCCAATCAAACAGAAAATAGCACCGCTTATTAGCACTGAATAAACCACTTCCGTAATTACAACAAACAGTGTTTTCCTAAAAACAACAGACAGTTTATATGTTTATTCTGTTGACTGGCATCAAGGAAGTTCAAATCAAAAGCAATAAAAATATTGAACCAACAACAGTTCACTGATTGGAGTTGTCAAGTGGGTAGAACTCTTGACCCCAGCAGTTATAACTCACGGGATGCTCATTGTGTAATTCCTATTCTTTAAATGACATTGTTATATACTTGTTACAAATGCTGCTCAACCATGTTTGAGTATATTTCTAAGTTGGTATTTCCGCTGTCCAAAGTGTGCAGTGAGGCCGTCTTATTGTTGATAGTCATTTTGGGGACATAAATGCGAAGTTTCATTAATGCGAACTAAGACCTCTCGCATTTTTCTCATTTTATTCACGCTCGGGTTAATTTCAGTATTTACAGTACTCATTGGCTCAAAAAGTTCTCTGCAGCCCTGTATTTATGACTTGTCAATGTTATAAATAGTCATAGAATTTCTTAGTATCTTTAGGCAGTCTCAGAAAAAAACATGTTGTGGTTCTAGAACTCCATAGAAAGATTGTGAGATGTCAAATGCACATCTACCAGAGAAACTGGTGTTGTGAAGTAGATGGTGTAGACTTAGGAGTAAAACAACATTTACTCACACATTCTCTAACCCCAGTGGCCTAAAGCAATTCATTATGCAGGGTTGTCTTCCTTAGCTACACCAGGATCCAACTATCATGTGTTTGAATCCCAGGTACAAATTACAACCACTTATGAATGAGATCCTTGATCTGTCAGAAGCGAACCCGTTGATCCATGTCACTTTGGACTTTTCTCCCACAATACCCCTTGATATATACTGATAACTTTGAAAGGTGGATATAGAGATACAGTGTAGCGCAAAGCGATTACTTCATCATGTTCAGAGTGGTGGCTCGATCTCTGTCCGCGTCATGCCAAAAGATGATAAAAGATGGTACTTGTCGTCACCATGCCTGGCGCTTAGCATTAAGGGAATTAAAACAAGGACTAGTAAGCTCGGAGTCGGTATGATGTATCTTGAGTTGGGTGTCCATGTAATATGTGGCGTGGTATCTCAGTTGGCTAACTCACACACCACACCACACCACACCACACCACACCACACCACACCACACCACACCACACCACACCACACCACACCACACACACACCACACCACACACATACTACACACCACACCACACCACACCACACCACACCACACACACTACACCACACACACACCACACCACACCACACCACACACACACACACATACCACATCCCACACACACCACACCACACCACACACACACACCACACCACACACACATACCACATCACACACACACATACCACATCACACACACACCACACACACACACCACACCACACACATACTACACACATACTACACACATACCAGTGATTTTGACACAAAAAGCTGTGTACAGGTCAATGACTTGGACCCAAGAAATGTAATAAGTCAGTGGTAAAAGTCAACAAGTCACTTAAAAGAAGATTCCGGATGCAGTAAAATTTCGAAGTTAAATCAGTACTTTTAAAAAATCGGGCATAGCTTCCGCACACCCGGCTACCCGCCGGGTCTTGGAGCAATACTGCCATCAACTTCACCCCCCATCCCCCAGACACAAGGACACTGAAGAAACAGTCATAGTTTTCTCGCTGATCACATGAACAACTGTAAGTGTAAAACTTCTCATTCACTTATTCATAAAGGACAACTTTATCTTAGAATCAAGCCATCATCTGAGTATTTATAATTTCTGTGTGACACCTACCGTTATGGTGCAAGTATTCGTGATTGAAAACGTATGATGTCCGAAAACCTATGATCTGACGATAATAGTATTGTGTCATGAATAATAATAAAGGCATAATTGATGCTGACAGTTCTGATCGAAACAGGACAATCCGCGACGGTTCTCCGGAAACACGATATTTTCGGAGTATTTTTTTTAATCTTTGATTATATTTTTACGAGGAAGATGACTCTTTTCGAGGACCACTGTTTTAAAAAACGTGATTTTCAGCGTTTTTGCGGAGATTTCACATTGTTAGATCTAATTATTTACGTATTGAACAAATTGACCAGTCACCGAAGGGACTTCCCACTCTACATGTATTTCGATTGCGAAAGTGTTATGTTGACATTTAATAGTCAAATTGCCTCAAATATGACTTTAAATGAGTCAAGGTATGGCATTTATGATATGTGTATCCATTCTCTTGCAAATAAAGTTCGTTTCAAGGCGTCAATAGCGGTAATCAGACCGTGGTTGCTGTAAATAACGGTGAGTTGTGCGATCTACCGATCACTTCGCATACGATTTCGCCAAAATTATTATAATTATTGAATAAAATTTTTTAATAAAATCTATAAGATATATTGCAAACATAAGTCCAGATAAACAATGAACACCTTTTTATAACCAGATATTATAATAATAGGATTAAATTGCATACTTCAGTTCGGATTTGTTGACTGGTATTTCCGGTGTTAGGTGATCGCGGTGATCAGTTGATTATGTTTTTTTGAGATGGGGGGAAAACATCGTGTCATTGGAAAACTTGAGTTTATTATAAACATAAGTAAATTTTTGGACCATGCTTTTCTGCCTGCTATTACCGAGTAAGCGCTATTATTGATGGGCGCAATAGCGAGAGAACACTCACTGTATATGATGCTGAAAGCTCGGATCAAAGACAGGACAATATGTGTACTGTACATTCTCTCGATTGGCACTAAACTTTATGAGAGCATTTCATCGGGCATTAAAATCGATACCCTGAGTGGAATAATCCCTACTATTTAATCAAGAAATTATGACACGTGTGACGGCTTGCTTAGCATTTCTATTGGTCAAAAGTCCAACAACTTAAACAAACCATCGGTCAAATAGAAATTTTATCGGTCAATGACCGGTGACCGACGGCCATCTGAAACCCTGCATACTACAGCCATACCACACACATACTACACACACACACACACCACACACCACACACACACACACACACACACACACACCACACACATACCACACCACACCCATACCACACCACACCAAACCACACCACACCACACCACACCACACCACACCACACCACACCACACCACACACATACATCACACACACACCACTACACACCACACCTCATACCACAGCTGTATAAGTGCAATAAAATCCAATGCGACAGTCTTGTAAAGGAAGTTCAGAGAAATATGAAACCAAAATTGGCAACTGTCATGTACTTGGTCCAGTATATTTGGCCACTTTGTATACATGTATGTTATGTGATTGTACAAAGATTTCATGAGTCATCATCTTCCTTTGTTTGGTAACAGTGGTTCCCTGTCATCTATTTCGAACATGTTGAACCAGCATGAAGCTGTTGATTTAGGGACGTTTATCGGGGTTTACACCTCTCATCCACCCTCTGAACTACTTCGCTATTCATATAACAGTATTTGTTTGGTTGTTTGTAGTTATTCGGCGCACTCAGCAATATTCCGTCTATATGAACCGCTATATGTAAATAATCAAGACTGGACCAGAGAGTCCAGTGATGGACATCATGAGCATCGTTCCACTCAATTGGGATACGATGACATGTATCAACCAAGTCAGTGAGCCTGTTACGACAAGCATGTTCGCCTTTTACGGGAAGCTTGGGTTGCTGAAGACCAATCCCTGGATCTTCACGGGTCCATATAACAGTAAAATATTTAGGGAAAAAACAACTTGTCTTTTCAACTTGTACAACTTTTGAATAGTCACAGAGTTGTTTAGGTGGCAAATCATGAATTATGATAGTGACTCACTGTTGGCAAACAAAGTTCGAAGTGATTCAAGTTCCACCTGGCCGAGGGGGCACGGGTGGCCCAGTCGTCTAAGGCGCGGCGATTCGCTGTGCGTCCCTTGGGCACGCCAGAAACCGAGGATTGTGGGTTCGAATCCTGGTTCGCCCCGATTATGTTTCTAGGTTTGTCAGCACCATACCCATGCTCGTGGGTTTCACCAAAGTGGTAAACGTCTGAGACCTGCATCACTTCGGGCTTTCCTCCCACATTAAGCTGACACGCCGCGATATAACTGGAATACTGTTAAAAGCGGCGTTAAACCCAACTCACTCACTCACTCCACCTGGCCGACTTAAGCAGCGTTCGAAATAAGCGCAGCCCCGTAGGTCCGTGGCAAGTAGATATCGTACTCGGTCCATAATTTCAAATTTGTGTGGGTCCTAATGGCCTGCATTAAATTTTATTTGTCACAATAAGCTGCAGATGTTTATATATGAAGAGTTCAGGCCTGCAGCTTCTAAAGTCTGTGGGTCCTATTGCAGTCTGGCATATTGTTTTTTATTTAAACACTGAACTTAACTGATGCTAAGGTACATTCTGTGTGTTAGTAATTGTCAATTCACAGAACTCAAAAGCCTTTGTATTATCTAAATTACCATGATGAAACCCATGTATGCAATTGGATTCCAGGGCTGGCTTGTCGGATGTATATCAATACAAAATATATAATTCAAGGCCACAGAAACATTACATTTATGAAGATTAACATGATTAAGATTGACAGTGAGAAAGCAGAAGATTCAATTTTAAACATTTAATAATAATAGATCAGGCGATTTGATATTTAGCATTAAATTGATCATTAAATTGCACATCTACATACGTAATATTTTTTCAATACACGTACAAAATAATTAATTTTAAGTCGATATAGCCACACTAAAATTTCCATCCATGACATCCCTGCTATCAACTAGTTTTGCCTGGTCCAGATATGATTATCATGATTATGGAAACAAGGGATGCAGTCAAAATATATACATGAGCCTTGACATGCGTTAAGATACATTATCACTCGGGTCCATTAAACATTATCAGTTTGCATGACAAACACCATTCAAGAAGACAACTGATCTCATAGGGGCCGCTGTATGGAGCGTCCCATCTGTTCAGATGATCACAAGAATTAGGCAGGAAGTACAGTGTACTTAACATTCAATCACTATGTAATCAGTGGAGGTGACATTGTTTCATACGTTTATCAATGTTGAATTTGACGTTTTGTGATGGCAGTGTTAGAAATTGGCACTAGTCCTGTAGTCCTTGCCAAACTGCCCAGTAGTTAAGGTATCATAAGACTAGTAGAAATTTGCCATTTTGAAGGGTTTTGCTATAGGTTATTATAAGGACTAGAGGACTGAAAATGTTCGTTTCTACCGCTGGATGGCATAGTTACCTGCTATTAATGCTTTATATTCAGATTCCGGGGTAGAATAGATCTTCAGCAACCCATGCTTGCCGTAAAAGGTGACTATGCTTGTCGTAACAGGCGACTAACGGGATCAGGTGGTCAGGCTCGCTGACTTGGTTGATACACGTCATCGATCCCAATTGCGTAGATCGATGCTCATGATATCAATCACTGGATTGTCTGGTCCAGATTCGATTATTTACAGACCGCTGTCATATAGCTAGAATATTGCTGAGTGCGGTGTAAAACAACAAACAAACCAACCAGCTCAATTGCGTGGATCGATGCTCATGATGTCAATCACTGGATTGTCTGGTCCAGACTCAATTATTTACAGACCGCTGTCATATAGCTGGAATATTGCTGAGTGCGGCATTAAACAACAAACCAACCAACCAACTTTGTATTCAGCACTTGTTGACAACTTCAGCGATAGAAACTAACATTATTATTCCACTAGTCCTCATAATGATAACATATAGCAAAACCCTTACCAATGGCAAATTTCAACTAGTCCTTAAGATACCTTAACTATTGGGCAGTTTGGCAAGGACTAGTGCCAATTTCTACCTCTATACTTCAGTATTTTGTCCACTAAATGCTAAATATACTATTTCCAATATCACAATTATAACAAGGATCCATAATTGCCAATCTGTACAACTAGAGAGATATAGAACACCACAAAGGAAACAGATCGTGATGGCTGGTAATAAAATGAAATCCCGACAGACATATCTATTTTACCTGAGGGCATGTAGATGTATCCGTTACAAATGACTAAACCAGTGTTTCTTGATCAATGTGATCTCCGTAACTACTTCCTGTATGCCAGATTATTTGGGTGTGCAAGGTCAAGGTCATGTTGACCTCGGATACTACCAGGAAGTAGCAGCTAAATGGCAACAGAAACACTTCAGGGTTAGGGCAGGTTATCAGTGAAGAAGGGCCCTAAATAAGGATATAGCTTCCCAATGTGGGTCAGACGGATTCAGTTTTGATAAGTACAGCAGGAAGTATTATATCTCTTTTTCCGTAGCCTTTCTAGGTAGATCTACGCAATATCAACTACTGTCGGATCATGAGTAAGGCGGAGAAACTAGAGAAAGTAAGATGCACCTTTAAACCTGTTATGATATGTTGTTATTGTGCCTCGTTGATAGATTTTGATGTGTTTAATCAAGAATATTTGATATAATTCTGTTTCCTGTCTTCATGAGTTGAACGTTTTGAACACAGTTGATCCTGTTGAGAATTGTGTGATTTGGCTGTGTGAGATGGAGTAGTTATGATCGCAAGGACACTGTTCTCCCCAGCATGCCGACAATGGTTGCTCGTGTTAGCAGGTAGTAAATATTCTGATGATGTGATATTTGCCCATGTCTGTATTGTGGACAGGGTGAAACTGGCTATATGACATTGTTTTCAAACTTGGCTGCTTTCCAGGTTTCTACATGTTCTAAGGTTTATTTCTCTGATTGTGAAAATGTGATGTCATTTTCAGGGCTTGTGTTTGATGAAGCTTACGACATACATAACAAGACCATTGGTCATTATATTGTTCTTGCCCTTGCATGTGTTTGTGATGTGCCATGGAGCAGGATACTCTGACCTCATCACAAACACCTGGTATCATCACTATTGCATAGTGATTTATAAACAAATGCTCATGATATAGTCAGGCTCTGCTTTTAGCTGAGGTTTCTTGTGATTATGGAAATACTTTTTGTCACTTTTATTGACACAGGTGTGATGTATGGATAGAAGGAAGCTGCACACATCTTTGCATCCAAAAAGATGTGTTTTTGCTCTAGACGTTTAACTTAATTATTGAATTACATTCAGTGAAACCCTGTAGATTAAGACTGTTTTACATGTAACAAGTGAAATCACGAAGTAATTTCTGTGGCTTTCCAGACTGACCTGGTTCCACTCAACCATTTGCCCTGATTATGTTTCTAGGTTTGTCAGCACCATACCTATGCTCGTGGGTTTTCACCGAAGTGGTAAACGTCTGAGACCTGCATTACCTCGGGCTTTCCTCCCACATTAAGCTGACACGCCGTGATATAACTTGAATACAGTAAAAAGCAGCCTTAAACCCAGCTCGCTCACTCACTCGCTCGCTCACTCACTCACTCACTCACTCACTCACTCACTCACTCACTCACTCACTCACTCACTCACTCACTCACTCACTCAACATGCTTAGTAAATTAACACTGTGCCAAAGTACTTTCAGACTGCGTCAATGACACTATGATTTTCAGAAAATGATTGTGAAGATCAGTAAGAAAATACATATGTATGCATGTCTGTGCCACTCATGAGAATATTTACTTGTTCAGGTCACTCAACGAGAAATATTATCAGTGATTATCTGATTATTTGACAAGATCTTACAATAGTCCTTTGCCTGATAATCATGGTTGCCATGGTGAAAGCAGAAGACCAGGGTTTGATTATCTCTTCTTACCCCTCCCCCCCCCCCAGATTTTACTTGAATGTTATTCAAACTAAATGGCAGAGATCTAATAAGCATTCCCACCGTGAAGATCCGGGGTAGAATAGGTCTTCAGCAACCCATGCTTGCTGCAACAGGCGACTATGCTTGTCGTAAGCTGCGACTAACGGGATCGAGTGGTCAGGCTTGCTGACTTGGTTGATGCATGTCATCGTATCCCAATTGCGTGGATCGATGCTCATGATATTGATCACTGGATTGTCTGGTCCAGACTGGATTATTTACAGACTGCCGTCATATAGCTGGAATATTGCTGAGTGCGGCGTTAAACAACCAACCAACTTAGCATTCCAAACAAAGTGCCCTTGGGATGTAAATTGGAAAAATTCTTTCTTTTGCTCAAAATTTGGATATTTTTTAAAAGTTACCTTTTACCATTCAATGCAGTAATGTTGAAGCTAAGCATTAAATCCCCTTCCTCTGTATTGGTCCTGTTCTCAGTTAAATAACAAGTCAACTCTAGAAAACCTGAAGGACCATTTTGTGTTTTGGGGGGGGTACGAACAGTTGCTGCAGACATGATAAATATCAGCCTCAAAGCAGGTTCAGATAACTCCCTGAATAGGTCAAATTAACAAGATTCTTATTTTGATTGATCAATTTCTTCTTCCCCCTCTGTATAGCATGGTGATGAATCAGTGACCATTACTTCATCAATGATGCATGTGTGTTCAGTGTTTGAAATTGGCACTAGTCCTATTGACCTTGCCTAACTGCCCAATAGTTAAGGTATCCTAAGGACTAGTAGAAATTTGCCCTTTTTAAGGGTTTTGCTATATGTTATCATTGTAAGGACTAGTGAGCTAGAACTGTTGGTTTCTATCACTGATGGGGGCACGGGTGGCCCAGTCGTCTAAGGCGCCGCGATTCGCTGTGCAGAGTTGCGTCCCTTGGGCACGCCAGAAACCTATGATTGTGGGTTCGAATCCCGCTTCGCCCCGATTATGTTTCTAGGTTTGTCAGCACCATACCCGTGCTCGTGGGTTTCACCAAAGTGGTAAACGTCTGAGACTTGCATCACTTTGGGCTTTCCTCCCACATTAAGCTGACATGCCGTGATATAACTGGAATACTGTTAAAAGCGGCGTTAAACCCAACTCACTCACTCACTCAATTCTATCACTGGTGTTGTTTGTTTCAGGTCCGCATTGCTTCCAACTTCATCCTGCATGCTCCTCCCGGGGAGTTCAATGAAGTCTTCAATGGTAAGGACAGGACATGGTGATTATCTGGTCATTGGTTGCGTGTATCTTAAAGGGTTTGTTGCAACCACTCAATCGTGTCAGTAGGCCATTGGCTATCAGCTTTTCTTCTTGTTGATATTTTGTGAATGCTCTGGAAATTTTGAGTATGAATTTATCATGGCTATGTTATGGCATGTATAAGGTCACAGTTGTATTCTACCTAACTCAGTGTGACAGTGAAACACATCAGTGTTAAACTCAACTCTGAAAAATACCAATGCCCACACCATTAACCATTGGTTTGTCTGGACGAGGATTGATTTTTACAGGCTATAGGAATGTGTAGGGTTTTACCCTGACCTACAAAACTAGGGGTTAATTAAGGGGGACACTGAACAATTACTTTCAATGGTCCTTACAGGAATCATAAGGGTCTGTACAGTAATGAAATGGTATGGTGTTATTTACTGTAAGATTTGGTAATTACGTTAATTAAAGGACTTTTATTTTATCATTCTTGTCAAGAATTTGGTACAATGAATATAATTGTACGTCCCTCTGGATGCAATATGTATGTTTGCTGTGTCTTGTAAAACCCTGACAGCGTTAGAAATTGGCACTAGTCCTGTAGTCCTTACCAAACTGCCCAATAGTTACGGTATCCTTAGGACTAGTAGAAATTGGCCCATTTTAAGGGTTTGGCTATATGTTATCATTATAACGACAAGTGGACAAAAGCTGTTAGTTTCTAACCCTGCCCTGATTGTGGATGTTATATAATGAATGTACTGCTCTTTCCCACTAACTTCTTATGTGATTTCAATGAAGGATGAGTTACATCCCTTAGGCATGGCAGGATCCTGTCGTCATGGATTCTTCAGTATTATTTGCACCCTTTTTAAGATCATTTTCATTAAGTGGTAAATATCTCAGACTCACATCATTTCAGGCCTTCCTTCCACACAAAAACTGCCGTGACATGAAGGTGACATTCCTGAAATACTGTTTAGAAGTTGACGCCCTCACTCTGATAAACTAATTCTTTGTGTTTAGATGTGCGTATTCTTGTGAATGAGGACAACCTGCTGAAAGACAAAGCTTCTGGGTATGTTATTCTTACCTTTACATCACTTATGCTTAATGTTGTATTTCCCAAACTGGCATTGTTTGATAAACGTACCAGCAGTATGACATGCGTGACGGCGTGACGATCCAGGTAAGAATAGGGGACCCATGCAAACCATGCATGTCGTAAGAGGCGACTAACGGGATCGGGTGGTCAGGTTCACTGACTTGGTTGATGCATGTCATCGTATCCCAATTGCATGGATCGATGCTCATGATATCAATCACTGGATTGTCTGGTCCAGACTCGATTATTTACAGACCGCTGTCACATAGCTGGAATATTGCTGAGTGCAGCCTTAAACAACAAACAAACAAACAAAAACATGACTTACAGCCATGTTTGTGTACAGGAACATGCTCTCATCAGTTCCGTGTTTAACAACAAACAAACATGCATTTATCATGTTTCATAGTACCAGCTGAACTCCGTAAACAATGTGTTTTCTAGTCATGCAAGTTCGGAATCAAGTTGTATTACGTTATTATTATCATGTTATGTCATTATTATGATTATAGTCTCTGCTAATTGAAAATAAATCATAACATGACAGATTGACTATAGTACCTTGAAAAGTTGAAAGCATCAGTGGTCCTTAACTTGTTTTGAGTGGTATATTAAGGATATATTGCTTCTACTTGTCTGAAGGCGGGGCGGTCGTGTAGCCTAGTGGTTAAAGCGTGCGCTTGTCACGCCAAAGACCCGGGTTCGATTCCCGACATGGGTACAATGTGTTAAGCCCATTTCTGGTGTCCCTCGCCGTGATATTGCTGGAATATTGCTAAAAGCAGCGTTAAACCATACTCACTCACTCACTCACATACTCACTCACTCACTCACTCACTCACTCACTCACTCACTCACTCACTCACTCACTCACTCACTCACTCACTCACTCACTCACTCACTCACTCACTCACTCACTCACTGAAGGCTACCCTCACTGCTTGTGATGCGAAGGTACAGTCAGTGTGTTAACCCCTTGCTTTGTTTGTCCTCAGTGCTTTTGCCCAGTACAACAAGGACCAGTTCACACCGTGTAAAGTCGAAGGATCAGTGTATCAGGTGAGTGCTGCATCTACGCTGAGTGGCAGTCTACCATCGAGTAGGGTTGAAACAGTACAGATGGTCACCATAGGATACATATCACGATACTCATATATACATCAAATCACATAGAAAAAGAATTGACTAAGCAGGAATCAAAGGAAAAGCCAGCTGTAGACACATGTTCGTAGAAAATTTGTTACCCTGTCTGGCGCTCGGCATTTAGGGGCTAAAACAAGGACTGGTCGGTTGGGAGTCTGTATACTGTGTCTGAGTGGGGTATTCGTGATAAACTGTGACATGGTATCTCAGTGAGCTAGCACTATAAACCGGCATCAGTCCGGACTAGTACAAGCAGCCACACACACACACGTCGCTATATAATTGCAATAATCTTGGACGCGACGTTAAACCCCATTTCACCTCACCTCACCTCACCTCACCTCACCTCACCTCACCTCACCTCACCTCACCTCATTTTTGTTGGCATTAATGAGTAATCGATGCATGAATATCAAATATTCAATAAAACACAACAAAATCACAAAATATTTATCTCCTTTAATCTAAAGCACAATCACTTTTGTGCACAAGCAGAGAAATACAGACAGAAATAAGATGGTACCTTAGCCAGCAAATAGTCTGATTTAGGACTGATTTCTCTGAATGAATCAGTCTGTCGTGAGACCTTGTTGATAGGTTGGCTGCCCATGAGTTGTAAGGCTGTAACGATTAACCGATGCCTACGGTGTCGCCAATACTTAGAAACATACGATACTTGAATTGTCAGTGTGGGATCGTAATATACCATAAACAGAACAGGAAGTGATGGAGTTACCTCCCATAATGGCTGAAGTAGCATTGCACCACCTGTAAGCATGGCCGAACACAAGGACGTGGTGGTAATAGTGGACTCTTCCTTTTGGGTAACAGGTTTCAGAGTTGTAATTCAGTGATTTCATGATTATGTTTCTGGTGTATCATGATACCAGGGGTACATAGCGTATCGCCAGATGTCAGGCAACACTCGGCTATAATGAGTTTATCATGCAGAATAATAAAACTATATTCACATTGTTTGTTCGTAGGCCCTCGTCACAGAGCACAGCGACCAAGGTGAAAACCGCTTCCTTGACCCCAGAACAAAGCAGTCTTTCAGGTAATCCACTGTCTTCCTATGGTATTGGTACAGGTGCAGGTATCTAGATCACATGCAAAAGGGGGCGGTCGGGTAGCCTAGTGGTTATAGTGTTCGCTCGTCACGCCGATGACCTGGGTTCGATTCCCGACATGGGATAAATAGTGTGAAGCCCATTTCTGATGTCCCCCGCTGTGATTTTGCAGGAATATTGCTAAAAGCGGCGTAAAACCATATTCACTCACTTGTGGCAAAAGCAATATATATATATATATATATATATATATATATATATATATATATGAAATAATACTTGGATTATCCATCATATTGGTATGACAACTGGTACCTGTGAGATTGAAGGCAAGAACAAAAATCAACTACTAGTTCTTGGGCAGTGGGGTAGGCTTTAATTAAAGTGTTCACATATCAAAGACGATGGCTTCATTCACCACAATGTGTAAAGCCAATTCATAATGACCCCTGCTTTGATGTGAGATATCCCTTATGAGATTCCAGGTAAGAATAAGTCCCCACCAACCCTTAAATGTCAATAAAGGTAACTTGATAGATTGGGTGGTCTGAATCAGGGTGGATAGTGTGTGCCATTGTCATGTGACCCGTGTAGATTCGGGGTAGAATAGGTCTTCAGCAACCCATGCTTGCCGTAAAAGGCGACTATGCTTGTCGTAAAAGGTGACTAACAGGATCGGGGGTCGGCTCGCTGACTTGGTTGAAGCACGGGCATCGATCTCAATTGCCTAGATCGTTGCTCATGATGTCAATCACTGGATTGTCTGGTCCAGACTTGACTATTTACAGACCACCGTCATACAGCTGGAATATTGTTGAGTGCGGTGTTTAACAACACACAAACAAACATTGCCAAGTGCCATAGGACATTGCTGATAATATCAATGGTTATCTGGTCCAGACTTGTGCAGCATTAAACAACGAACAGCGTGTTGAGATAACATGTCCCTCTGCCCACAGATATGACCATCTAAGGAAGGAAGGCTCCGACTTCCAGCCAGCAAATGTGGATCAGAAAGCTGAGAGCTGGCGGGCAGCCATCGAGGCGGCGATCACATTGTACGTAGAGAACCACTATAAGTATGGTGTGGCCAGCGTCTACAGCAGCAGCTCCGGCGGTGACATCACCATCACTGCCTGTATAGAGAGTCATCACTTTCAGCCTAGGAACTGGTGGTACGTACACACACACTCATGTGCTACTTAACATTCGAAATAAATGCTTGCCTGTCGGCAAAAAGATATTGTGTTGGGCCAGTAGTTTCAAAGTTTGTATTGGTCCTGTGGTAAATATAAGTGTCTTATTTGTCACAATAAGCTGCAGTTTTTTGGTGTTTTTTAATTAGTTTTTCTTGACACATATGAACATACAGTTCCTCAATGTACCTCACAACTTGCACATTAATTTCTATAGGTAGGGGGGGGGAGTGCCCATTTTTCTAAGGCGCCACGATTCGCTGTGCAGAGTTGCGTCTCTTGGGCATGCCAGAAACCTATGATTGTTTCTAGATTTGTCAGCACCATACCCGTGCCCGTGGGTTTCACCGCAGTGGTAAACGTCTGAGACCTGCATCACTTCGGGCTTTCCTCCCACATTAAGCTGACAAGCCGTGATATAACTGGAATACTGTTAAAAGCAGCGTTAAACCCAGCTCACTCACTCACACTCTACACGTAGGGCAATTATTTTCTGTCAATATTTCATATAACCAGTCAATAAGGCAAGCTCCTTTCTGTGTTGCCCGGTCAGGGAGCATTTCAAGCTTATTCAAAGGGGCCTTTTGTCTTTGGTTGTCAAAATGTCAAGCATTTCACACTCACAACTAATGTATAATGTATCAAGTAATAAAAATTCAGGAATTCTATATCTTACCTCAAAAGTATTCTTAGTTACTTTGACTCAAATACCTAGGGCCTGTAAGGGTTGAGTCCAGGCCTGCAGCTCTGTGGGTCCTGATGGCGGCCTGGCAATTTTGTTTCTTATTTCAAACAGTTTGTTCGCTGTTCAGAGTTGCGTCCCTTGGGTACGCCAGAAACCTAAGATTGTGGTTCGCCCCGATTATGTTTCTGGGTTTGTCAGCACCATACCCGTGCTCGTGGGTTTCACAGAGACCTGCATCACTTCGGGCTTTCCTCCCACATTAAGCTGACACACTGTGATATGACTGGAATAATGTTAAAAGCGCCGTTAAACCCAACTCACTCACTCACTCACTCACTCACTCACTCACTCACTCACTCACTCAAACAGTTTGTTGGGTACTGAGATGTTTCATACTGTAAGAGGACACCAAAATATGGGCATATAGACTGATGATGATAATAATTTGAGATGAAACTAATATGCATCAAATCTATGACAATGTTGACCCCTGTGAAGACCTCGGGTGGCTTTGGTCTTCAGACAACCATGCTTGTCGGGTAGTCACGCTCACTGACTTGGTTGATGCATTGTATCCTAATTAGATTGATGCTCATGATGTCGATCACTGGATTGTCTGGTCAGACTCGATTATTGACAGACCTCCATAATATAGTTGGAATAGTGTTGTGTGCGGCATTAAACAAGAATCAAACAAAACAAATCAATTTTTAACGTTACCTGTGTGCAACATCTTGCAGTAGGCCACGTCTAGCTCCAACTTGAAATTCACAGGCAGATGCAGAGACAAGATATTAGAATGCAGGTTGAAAACAAAGCCTTTTGGACGTTCGTATAACATCTAAGCCTTATGCAAGGGTTTTGCAACATGCAGTCTCCAAGTGATGCTGCTCGAAAGTTTCCTCTTTCCACCTGATTCCCGACATGGGTACAATGTGTGAAGCCCATTTCTGGTGTCCCCCGCCGTGATATTGCTGGAATATTGCTAAAAGCGGCATAAAATCACTCTCACTCACTCACTCACTCACTCACTCACTCACTCACTCCAGTAGAAATGGGTACCCAGTGGGAAGTGTGTGTGAAAAGAATTGAATCATAAGATTTAAGTTTATGTCTTGTCCATGCTCATTCCCTTACTGGAGTTTGTCCAAAGTGTTTCAGCAGATGTGTGTGTGTTACAGGAATGGTCGGTGGCGCTCACAGTGGAGTGTGACATTTCCCTCTTCAGGTGGCAGTGTTCAGCTCTCGGGGATACTTAAAGTACAGGTAAGCACTAGCTAAGGATGCAAGTCTTTAAGTTCATTGAAATACTATAAACAGCTTTATTTCTGCGCCGTTAAAATATTGCGAATACCACACCAAAGACAATACTGCGACGAGATATTTTTGCCAGTTGTCGTGTTGAGGTGACCTCTCGATTACCAAACAATAGACAGCTTCTCTCCGAAGCTAGTTAATCTGAGTTGGCAGGAAAGTTCACCGGAAGGGATTGCGACCAATTATCAAATACGATAATTGACTAAACTCAGTGTCATGACTGTGAGTTTGAATGCAAACAAAATTGTGGACAAAATTGCAAAGGACACTGACGCAATCAAGCGAGGTTGGAAGAAGGCAGGATTATCGTGAGGTAACAGTGACACTAATTGGTCTGTTTACACTGTCATTTGTGATATATTGTGTGACCATTCTGCATTCATTTGTGTTTTTAACTTATTGAGTAACTTGTGGTTCTGGTTGATGATTTCAACATTTGATGACCTGTTGCAATGAATAAAGTAAATGTATGTATTATTTATACTTATTTTTGCGTTTTTAATTTTTGCGATTGAGTCTCTGTCACAAAACTCGCAATAATAAAACGGTCGCAAAAAATTCCCTGTTTACAGTAGATAAGATCATGATTATTAACAGTCGTTTCTGTATGGGTCGCTTAATACTGTTTTTATTCCACATATTTAATATTTACGATACCAGAACACACAGGAGTTTGATTCTGTTAGCGTATACAGGTAAACACTGTTGTGTCAAACACTGTTGGGTCAAACTTTAATGGGTCAAACTTATGGTTGTCTCGAAGTAAAAGCTTGGTGTGTTCCTTTTATATTATCTCTTTTTGTGGTTGTGTTGGAACGTATTGAGGGGCGGTCGGGTAGCCTTGTGGTTTAAGTGTTCGCTCATCACGCTGAAGACCTTGGTTCGATTCCCGACATGAGTACAATGTGTGAAGCCCATTTCTGGTGTCCCCCGCCATGGAATATTGCTAACAGCAGCACAAAACCATACTCACTCACTCACTTGTAAGTTAATACATATTAGAGACTGTTGGATGGGCTGGTGGAATTATGTACGAATGAGGAAAATTGTAGTAAATGTCCCTATTCCACCATGTCTAAAGAGCATCTCAGCACTATGATCATCCATGTTTAGTAGATACTCTGAAGTAGTAACATTGCTTAGTAAAATGGGGCCTGGGACACAGGATACAGTTAAAACTATGTCAGTTGAATTAATTAATCATTGGAAATTTCAAAAGTTATCTCCCTTGTTGACGGAGTTACTGCATAGATCTTCCCATGGTGAAAGGTCAGAATTCAACCTGTTCTTACTACAGTGATACTTCCATGATTAGTGGTAGTGTGAATAATAATGATAAACAACCTGTTCTTACTACAGTGATACTTCCATGATTAGTGGTAGTGTGAATAATAATGATGAACAATGTGTATAAATATTTAGTCCAGACAGGGAATTACGGTTCAAATGCAAACAAAAGTATATACGATGTTACCCAACACTGTATGGCAAGACTATCAATTCTTCCTTTTCTTACATTTTCAACATTACAGGGTCTGATAAAACATTTTCTACCTTTGTTTTTTTTATTAATTTAAACGAACATGAACGCCCGCCACATATGTCCAGATGGTGCGATCTTCATGAACACTTCAGCCGAGTTTAAACATGAATGCTAGATGGTGAGATGTTCATGAACTCTTCAGCCCAGTATAAACATGAATGCCAGATGGTGAGATGTTCATGAACACTTCAGCCCAGTATAAACATGAATGCCAGATGGTGAGATGTTCATGAACACTTCAGCCGGGTATAAACATGAATGCCAGATGGTGAGATGTTCATGAACACTTCAGCCGGGTATAAACATGAATGCCAGATGGTGAGATGTTCATGAACACTTCAGCCGGGTATAAACATGAATGCCAGATGGTGCGATGTTCATGAACACTTCAGCCCAGTTTAAACATGAATGCCAGATGGTGAGATGTTCATGAACACTTCAGCCCAGTATAAACATGAATGCCAGATGGTGAGATCTTCATGAACACTTCAGCCGGGTATAAACATGAATGCTAGATGGTGAGATCTTCATGAACACTTCAGCCCAGTATAAACATGAATGCTAGATGGTGAGATGTTCATGAACTCTTCAGCCCAGTATAAACATGAATGCCAGATGGTGAGATGTTCATGAACACTTCAGCCCAGTATAAACATGAATGCCAGATGGTGAGATGTTCATGAACACTTCAGCCGGGTATAAACATGAATGCCAGATGGTGCGATGTTCATGAACACTTCAGCCGGGTATAAACATGAATGCCAGATGGTGAGATGTTCATGAACACTTCAGCCGGGTATAAACATGAATGCCAGATGGTGCGATGTTCATGAACACTTCAGCCCAGTTTAAACATGAATGCTAGATGGTGAGATGTTCATGAACACTTCAGCCCAGTATAAACATGAATGCCAGATGGTGAGATGTTCATGAACACTTCAGCCCAGTATAAACATGAATGCTAGATGGTGAGATCTTCATGAACACTTCAGCCCAGTATAAACATGAATGCCAGATGGTGAGATGTTCATGAACACTTCAGCCCAGTATAAACATGAATGCCAGATGGTGAGATGTTCATGAACACTTCAGCCCAGTATAAACATGAATGCTAGATGGTGAGATCTTCATGAACACTTCAGCCCAGTATAAACATGAATGCCAGATGGTGAGATGTTCATGAACACTTCAGCCCAGTATAAACATGAATGCCAGATGGTGAGATGTTCATGAACACTTCAGCCCAGTATAAACATGAATGCCAGATGGTGAGATGTTCATGAACACTTCAGCCGGGTATAAACATGAATGCCAGATGGTGCGATGTTCATGAACACTTCAGCCGGGTATAAACATGAATGCCAGATGGTGAGATGTTCATGAACACTTCAGCCGGGTATAAACATGAATGCCAGATGGTGCGATGTTCATGAACACTTCAGCCCAGTTTAAACATGAATGCTAGATGGTGAGATGTTCATGAACACTTCAGCCCAGTATAAACATGAATGCCAGATGGTGAGATGTTCATGAACACTTCAGCCGAGTTTAAACATGAATGCTAGATGGTGAGATGTTCATGAAGACTTCAGCCCAGTATAAACATGAATGCTAGATGGTGAGATGTTCATGAACACTTCAGCCCAGTATAAACATGAATGCCAGATGGTGAGATGTTCATGAACACTTCAGCCGAGTTTAAACATGAATGCTAGATGGTGAGATGTTCATGAACACTTCAGCCGGGTATAAACATGAATGCCAGATGGTGCGATGTTCATGAACACTTCAGCCCAGTATAAACATGAATGCTAGATGGTGAGATGTTCATGAACACTTCAGCCGGGTATAAACATGAATGCTAGATGGTGAGATGTTCATGAACACTTCAGCCCAGTATAAACATGAATGCCAGATGGTGCGATGTTCATGAACACTTCAGCCGGGTATAAACATGAATGCTAGATGGTGAGATGTTCATGAACACTTCAGCCCAGTATAAACATGAATGCTAGATGGTGAGATGTTCATGAACACTTCAGCCCAGTATAAACATGAATGCCAGATGGTGCGATGTTCATGAACACTTCAGCCCAGTATAAACATGAATGCTAGATGGTGAGATGTTCATGAACTCTTCAGCCCAGTATAAACATGAATGCTAGATGGTGAGATGTTCATGAACACTTCAGCCCAGTATAAACATGAATGCCAGATGGTGAGATGTTCATGAACACTTCAGCCCAGTATAAACATGAATGCCAGATGGTGAGATGTTCATGAACACTTCAGCCCAGTATAAACATGAATGCCAGATGGTGAGATGTTCATGAACACTTCAGCCCAGTATAAACATGATGAAATAATTATTCTCACTATGTTTTCAGGTTCATTATTACGAAGATGGGAATGTGCAGTTAGTCAGCTCCAAAGAATGTAGTGAAAAGTTAAATATATCAGTAAGTTGACTTGCTATTCCTTCAGATGAGTGCTTGCAGTGATGTACATTTTTTTGTGAGTTGATTGACGGGGGTATTTTGTTTGAAAGATAACTTCACCTAGAATTAATTCAGACTTCTTAGGTTGATATTTTATTGTTTGTGTTCAAACGAGATTCATCAAGTTTACTGTCCTTGTTTTTACAGAATGCAGAGCAAACAGCCAAGAATTTTGTAAGCCTAGTTTCTGATGCTGAAAATGAGTACCAGGTGAGTTTAAAGAAATCCACATTGATGACCCCTGTTGGGATTCTGTCTTAGAAAAAGTCTCCAGCAACCTATGCTTGTTTGTAGGAGGCGACCAAATGGATCGGTTGGTCAGGCTCAGTGACTTTATTGCGTGTCATCGTACCGCGAAGGCGTTGATCGTTACTCACAATAGCAGTCTGGGGCGGTCGGGTAGCCTAGTGGTTAAAGCGTTCGCTCGTCACGCCGAAGATCCGGGTTCATTGGGTACAATGTGTGAAGCCCATTTCTGGTGTCCCCTGCTGTGATATTGTTGGAATATTGCTAAAAGCGGCGTAAATCCATACTCAATCACAATAACAGTCACTGGATTGTCTGGTCCAGGCTCAATTATTTACAGACAAATGCTAATATAACATATGTTATGTTTTAAATAACACTTTCTTGGTAAATTATGTATTCTAGTACCTTTTTGGGGTTGAGTCCCATCCCACCTAATGCAAGCTGTGCCAATTTACACTTGTCAGAGGGGTACACAAAGTATGTGATCTAGACTACCAGTTGTCAGGCTTACATTTTTTAGGAAGCCTCGGTGGCTGAGTGGGTTAAGTCACTGACTTTGTGTGCTGGCGATTAGGTGCCTCACTCTGGCAGTGTGGTTTCAAATCCCGGATGGGACTAAACCCTAAAAAGTACTAGAATCTTCACGCAATCAAATGAATGTTTATTTGGTGAAAACTTATTATCAGTCAACCATGGGTGTCATGTTCCTGACTGTGACTTTCATTTAGTGTGCACTGATTCTCATGCTCTGTGTTCCCCTTTACCGGTAATTACCAGTCCTTTACCAGTAAAATTAGGCTTGGGCCGGTAATTCATGTGCCTCAGTCACTGCCAGTCCGTGTGGACCAGCAAATAAAGTCCTTATAAATCTTTGTTTTTGAACAAAACATTGGCGATATTCATATAAGTATATGTTTCGAACGAATTCAGCTTGTCTGTTACTATAAGGGTTTCCCCTTGTCTATTTTTAGCCCAAGCACATCACATTTCGCTTTGCTTCGAGGTTAACTATATATTTGGAGAAATTTCGGCTTGGAATATTAACCCAAAAAAAGAGAGAAATGTGACTGAACTTTGTGTGAATGACGTGTAGATCTAACTAAGTTACTTCAGAGATGACATCATTGCATTGAATATGATGTTGAAAGAATTAAAACCAGGTAATTTTCATACTTTTTTTATTTGCTAAAAGTTCGGACTGACATAAATTTGGGGGGAACTGGTAATTTTTAGAGTTGCCAGTCCTGGTGGACCGGTAGTTTCAAAAGTCAACAGGAACACTGATGCTGTCAACCACTGTTATACACATATATATCTGAGGGGCGGTCGGGTAGCCTAGTGGTTAAAGCGTTCGCTCGTCATGCCGAAGACCCGGGTTCGATTCCCGACATGGGTACAATGTGTGAAGCCCATTTCTGGTGTCCCCCGCTGTGATATTGCTGGAATATTGCTAAAAGGGGCGCAAAACCATACTCACTCACTCACTCACTCACTCACTCACTCACTCACTCACTCACTCACTCATATATATCTGAAAATAGTTAATGTTTCTGTCTTTTAAAGCCAGTAATCAATGCCTGTGTTCAGTAAGTGTTCAGTCAAGTAAGCATGGTTACCTCAACCAAGTCCTGGGGGGCACGGGTGGCCCAGTCGTCTAAGGTGCCGTGATTCGCTGTGCAGAGTTGCGTCCCTTGGGCACGCCAGAAACCTATGATCGTGGGTTCGAATCACGGTTCGCCCCGATTATGTTTCTAGGTTTGTCAGCACCATACCCGTGCTCGTGGGTTTCACCGAAGTGGTAAACGTCAGACCTGCTTCACTTCGGGCTTTCCTCCTACATTAAGCTGACACGCCGTGATATAACTGGAATACTGTTAAAAGCGGCGTTAAACCCAACTCACTCACTCACTCAACCAAGTCTTTGTAATAACACTAAAACCTACTGAAAACAATGCCAAGAGATAAGTTCAGGCAGGTTGACTCAAATGTACTGACCAACAGTTGATGTTCAAACACTGCATATTTGTTTCCACAGAGAGCGTTGTCTGAGAATTACCAGACCATGTCTGATACAACGTTTAAGGCACTACGTCGTCAGCTGCCTGTCACCAGGACCAAGATCGACTGGAACAAGATCATAATATCTGGCTACAAGATAGGTGGTGAGCTCAAGAATGCGTGAGTGACCTTGTCCTCGTCGTCGCTGTACTCATTGCCGTTCCTGCTGCCCGTGCTGTCGTCGTCATGGACATTGCCGCATCGCACTCGGACCTGCTCCGGGGGGGGTCAACCTCGCCTCATCAATATTACGTTTCATTGCTAATACTTTTGTAATCAATCTAATTTTGTATGCTAAGTATGATCCATGTTCAGTTTTGTATCTTTTAGCCAGTGTCGAGGTTTGTCTTTTGTTTTAGCATTGCCAGTTGTGGGGACTCCCATTGAATTATATTTTTTCCCAAACGTCAAATAACAAGCTATTTTCAACCAAAAGTTTCAACCAGATTATTTTGGTCAGATTTATGCTGTTTCAGCATGTTCAGTTGCTTGTAAAGAATTTGTAGTGAAATTTTTGAGTCCCTGGACTGTCTTAGAATCCTGTTATGTTGAGTCTGTAGTTGAGCAGCTCAGGAAGGCACAGAGATAGCACCCTTTCAGTAGGTTGGCCAACAGGTCTATGACACGTCCGTGTTTGTACCAATTTGCTGCACTCCGCAATGAAATTTGATGGAAATACTCCTATATATCTTTCCTGATCATGCACATGTAGATACTTTATAATCACAGGTGATCCATCAGAGGTTGATGACTAAAATTGATGACTGCTCCACCTTGTGATCCTAATCAAGGGATAAACTTATGAATCATTCATTTTCTTGCTTGTGAAACGGTTTTGTTCTTGCTCCTCTTTTTTTAATGATGGTCTTAATCTTTGGTTCACTCATTTTGAACTTGCTGTCTTTTTCCAGTTGATTGCTAACGTTTCCTGTTTCTATGTCAAACACTCGTAAAATACTGGTTGGTAATGGTATATGTAGGATAATTTCCTTATTATTGATAAGACATATGAAAATGCCACTACAAAATTCTGAATTGATATATCGTGTATGAATCATCTTTTATTTCATGTTGATATACCAAATCTATGCCATAGCAGTTAGTTAACTTCCTTTTCTAGTAGTCCCAAGTCCATGACAGTCATTTGGCTATCCTCAGTTAAGCTCTAGGGCATTATTAGCACAGGCAGTTCAAAATAAGTCAACTAAAGTGTCTACCACACCCGCCTGGTGTTTTCACGTAACCATGGTAACTGTACAGACTTCCTTGTGTTGATTTTGTTGTATCCCTTCTTTGTTTTTGTTTATCATCAATCAAAGTATGATATAAATTGTAAATTATTTTGTCTCAAGTTCTCTGTGAAAGGACTATGGGTTAAATGGGATAAAGACTAAACTTGTGTAACTAGCCCAATATTAACATTGGGGATGCATTTTTTTAAATGATTAAAAAAAATAACAACATTGAAGTGTTTGTTGAATCCTGTTTTAGCAGACACCAGAATTTATACTGCCAACACAGAGTATAAGAATGAATGATTTGAATGTAGCTGAGGTGCATGTTTACAAAACGGTCCTGTTCCATCTGAATGCAACATCTATTCACAATGAAACAACATGTGGTGCACGTGCGTACAGAAGCTGAAGTGTGTGTGCCTATAGGGAATCAGTGTGCCAGGGTAAACCTTCATCAATGAAGGAACGGGTGCGGTAACGCCAGACCTAATCAGGTCGTCACCAATTGTATCCCACAAGAAGGCATATGGACATTGTCTACAAGGAAACTATGCCAGGGTAATAATACTTCATCCATGAAGGAACGGGCGCGGTAATGTCATGACGACGCCAGACCTAATCAGGCCCAGGTCGTCACCAATTGTATCCCGAAAAGAAGGCATACGGACATTGCCTACAAGGAAACTATGCCAGGGTAATAATACTTCATCCATGAAGGAACGGGCCGTAATTTAATGACAACGCCAGACCTAATCAGGCCCAGGTCGTCACCAATTGTATCCCACAAGAAGGCATACGGACATTGCCTACAAGGAAACTATGCCAGGGTAATAATACTTCATCCATGAAGGAACAGCGCGGTAATGTCATGACAACGCCAGACCTAATCAGGCCCAGGTCGTCACCAATTGTATCCCACAAGAAGGCATACGGACATTGCCTACAAGGAAACTATGCCAGGGTAATAATACTTCATCCATGAAGGAACGGGCGCGGTAATGTCATGAAAACGCCAGACCTAATCAGGCCCAGGTCATCACCAATTGTATCCCACAAGAAGGCATACGGACATTGCCTACAAGGAAACTATGCCAGGGTAATAATACTTCATCCATGAAGGAACAGCGCGGTAATGTCATGACAACGCCAGACCTAATCAGGCCCAGGTCGTCACCATCTGTATCCCACAAGAAGGCATACGGACATTGCCTACAAGGAAACTATGCCAGGGTAATAATACTTCATCCATGAAGGAACGGGCGCGGTAATGTCATGACAACGCCAGACCTAATCAGGCCCAGCTCGTCACCAATTGTATCCCACAAGAAGGCATACGGACATTGCCTACAAGGAAACTATGCCAGGGTAATAATACTTCATCCATGAAGGAACGGGCGCGGTAATGTCATGACAACGCCAGACCTAATCAGGCCCAGGTCGTCACCAATTGTATCCCACAAGAAGGCATACGGACATTGCCTACAAGGAGTGAGTGAGTGAGTGAGTATGGTTTTACGCCGCTTTTAGCAATATTCCAGCAATATCACGGCGGGGGACACCAGAAATGGGCTTCACACATTGTACCCATGTCGGGAATCGAACCCGGGTCTTCGGCGTGACGAGCGAACGCTTTAACCACTAGGCTACCCGACCGCCCTTGCCTACAAGGAAACTATGCCAGGGTAATAATACTTCATCCATGAAGGAACGGGCGCGGTAATGTCATGACAACGCCAGACCTAATCAGGCCCAGGTCGTCACCAATTGTATCGGACAAGAAGGCATACGGACATTGCCTACAAGGAAACTATGCCAGGGTAATAATACTTCATCCATGAAGGAACGGGCGTGGTAATGTCATGACAACGCCAGACCTAATCAGGCCCAGGTCGTCACCAATTGTATCGGACAAGAAGGCATCCGGACATTGCCTACAAGGAAACTATGCCAGGGTAATAATACTTCATCCATGAAGGAACGGGCCATAATTCAATGAGAAACGCCAGACCTAATCAGGCCCAGGTCGTCACCAATTGTATCGGACAAGAAGGCATACGGACATTGCCTACAAGGAAACTATGCCAGGGTAATAATACTTCATCCATGAAGGAACGGGCCATAATTTAATGAGAAACGCCAGACCTAATCAGGCCCAGGTCGTCACCAATTGTATCCCACAAGAAGGCATACGGACATTGTCTACAAGGAAACTATGCCAGGGTAATAATACTTCATCCATGAAGGAACGGGCGCGGTAATGTCATGACAACGCCAGACCTAATGATGCCGAGGTCGTCACCAATTGTATCCCACAAGAAGGCATACTGACATAAGTCTGGACCTCAATGTCCCCTGACGTCCCCAACAGAGCATCTGTGGGATGGTCTCGGCTGAAGAATTACACCAGAGACTCAGCACCCGCCAAGTGGCCCAGCTTATGGTAGTTCTTCAGGCGGAACCGGAACTGGAATAATGTTAAAAGCGGCGTTAAACCCAACTCACTCACTCCCTCACTCCCTCACTCCCTCACATCTTCCCGCGGCTAGGAGTTAAGGGGGATAACTTAGTATTAAAGTCCATTTCCACCGAACTTTTAGTCAGTTAACTCCCTTACCTCGGAAAGCAAGACATTTCAACACGTGGAATCGCAGAATGCGTCTGGGACTGAAATTAGTAAAGTAAAAGAGCCTGCCATCCGGTACCCGTCTTCTGACCGACTCTTCTGACAAGCATGGATACCGGGAGTATTGTGACCAACAGAAACAGGTCTCTATTTAATATGAGTGAGTGAATGGATTTTGGTTTATCCCCGCTTCAAATAGTATTTCACTTATAAAATGTCGGCTTGCTGTCGGGGGGAAAGTCCGACGTGATGTTGACGTTTTGACTGAGGTGAGGTGAGGTGAAATTGGGTTTAACGTCGCGTCCAAGATTATTGCACTTATATAGCGACGTGCATGCACGTGTGTGTGTGTGTGGCTGCTTGTACTAGTCCGGACTGATGCCGATATATAGTGCTAGCTCACTGAGATACCATGCCACAGTTTAACATGAATACCCCACTCAGACACAGTATACTGACTCCGAGCCGACCAGTCCTTGTTTTAGCCCCTTAATGTCGAGCGCCAGACAGGGTAACAACAAGTACCATTTTTGACAGACGTTTACCTGTTGTTTTATGGAAAATTAAGAAGATATTTCTCAAACTGAATAAAACGTTAACGCCACATTCTGAACTGGAAACAAGCGAACGAACAAAACCTGATTGTGCAAAGAGGATTTGCAGATGTAATTCTGTATCCATTGTTGCTTTTTTTACAGGAATATTTCATCTACACCCATTTTCTCACTGTTTTTATGCCTTTTTCTCAGACTTATCCAACTAATTTGTCGAGAGCAGATATGACGAGAAACGTCATTACAGATCCTTCACGTTACGTTGCCTTGCGTCGGGATGGATCACGTCGCGTTACGTCGCGTTGCGTTCAGTCACCTGTGAATTTATATGAAATAGGTTGAATCGATCTATTCCGATTAATCTGCTAGTTTAGGTTTCAAATGTTAAATTTAGTGCTGGTTACAGATCGGTGGGTTTTTTCTATTCAACCATGAAAAAATAAAACGCGAACTGTATGGAAGATCAGTGAGGTGGCATTTATAACAGGAATTGAAAGTGTGTAGCACATCTACTTCGTAAATAAACATTAAGTGGATACCAGGGTCTTCAGCAACCCATGCTTGCCGTAAAAGGCGACTAACGGGATTGGGTGGTCAGGCTCGCTGACTTGGTTGATGCATGTCATCGTATCCCAATTGCGTAGATCGATGCTTATGATGTCAATCACTGGATTGTCTGGTCCAGACTCGATTATTAAGAGACCACCGTCATATAGCTGGAATATTGCTAGCGTTAAACAACAATGTTTTGTGGATGCACCTCAAGGAAATGAAGCAAACAATGTTTACACCATCGTGACATCACAGTCGAAGCGCCAAAGACAATGTAGGATATGGGCCATTTTGAGACCACAGGACCCGCTTACTTTAAGAATTGAGAAAAGGCTTTTAGAATTAGTTATGATAGTTTTTAGATGTGTTCCATTATGAATGAGAACTAAACTTTGTTCAAGTCTTTGAAAGGCATTTAGAAGTGATACACATAAGTAAGAGAATTTATGGATGCCACCTTCTTTATTATGAGGAACACAACATTTTGGAGTATATGCTTACTCTTTCATCAGGTGAATGAAAGCTATAAGGCAGAGAGCATATATATGTACATGTAAGAACAACAAAAGTAACAAGATAACAAAAGGTGGAAACTTAACAAGGGAAACCATAGCTTTCATTCACCTGATGAAGGAGTAAGTATTTACTCCGAAACGTTGAGTTCCTCATGATAACGAAGTTGACATCCATCAATTCTCTTCCTGTTCATTTCAGATGAGATGAGGTGAGGTGAGGTGAGGTGAGGTGAGGTGAGGTGAGGTGAAATGGGGTTTAACGTCGCGTCCAAGTTTATTGCACTTATATAGCGACGTGCATGCACGTGTGTGTGTGTGGCTGCTTGTACTAGTCCGGACTGATGCCGATTTATACTGCTTAATGCCGAGCGCCAGACAGGGTAACAACAAGTATCATCTTTTAACGTCTTTTGGTATGACGCGGCCGAGGATCGAACCCCGGACCTTCCGCTCTCCGGGCGGACGCTCTACCACTAGACCACGGAGGCGGCCCCTGTTCATTTCAACAGGTTTGGCACTAACACTAAACCTATACGTAAGGGTAAAATGTGTCAGAAAGATAGATTTTAGAGTTTTTCATGAATCATTTATATAAAAGTGATCATGAGCAAGTCTTTAACCCCAGCTAAGTTGACATATGGTGAAAAATAACCTTGGATCTTAAACTTTAAACTTTTAAAATTTTCCCTTCTCTCAATTTAGCCATATACTATGTGTATTCCAAGAAGTCAAAAACATGCAAGCGTAAGAAAGAAAAATGGCTAGTTGTCACCATTTTAACATGTCTTATGCTTTCATAGTATTTCAAAGTTATCAGCAAATTTGAGGTTTCCAGTGTGCAAAAGGAGCCGTTATTCTACCGTCCACTTTCAGGCTTTCTGTTGCACAGTTCATAATTATGACCTAAATGCTCAAATATAGTGAGTAAATGATCTGGGTTAAGGAGGGCGGACGGGTAGCCTAGTGGTTAAAGCGTTAGCTCGT